GGATTTTTAAAAAAGATTTACTTAAATATTTCATTCCACCTTTTGCAGTAAAAAGACCTCAGTTCACGCATCGAATCCCCATAAAGCGGGTATCAAAAAAACAGAATGAAAACTCGCCACTAATGACAAGGAAAAGAAATTTGCTCTGAAACCAGCAGTAAAATAACAGCAACAGCTGAAATTAAAAGCATCATTCAGCAAAAGGCAGATTAAAACAAGCAGGTCTTTAATGTACGTCCCACAAAGAAGGAGACACTATAAAGGAGGCCCCATAGCACAGTGACAGAGCATCTGCTTTGCATACCCTCCAAGTGTCCCTACTTTCCAGTGATGGTCAAAGGAGGACTGAACTCCTTCTTTGGAGGCTTTTAGGAAGAGTTCTAATGGTACCTCTTTTCCATTCAGCCCTCTGATTGTTAAGCTAGTCTTTGAGTTGTCTTGTAGCGTCATCGTATTTTCTTGGGGGAGGGGGTTGATTTGATTTCTGTTTTAACAGCTACTGTAATGACCACTTCCCATGTTAAATGGGGGTGCCCTTTGCATGGTCGTGCGCAGCCCCCTGGACCCTATGTGGCACCATTAGCACAGGCTTGGCTTCGCCTTCCCCAGGTGGGATACCTGGAGGTCTCCGCCTACCTCAGCCAGTTGCCCAATCTTGCCTGGGGAGGCATTGCCAAGGTGATCAGGCCAGGTAGGGGGAGGGACCACATGCCCACACAATAGGGGGAGGATCTTACCTGAGCCTTGGACAGGCAGCTTAGAAATGTTTCAAATAAATACATTTAGCAAAGCTGTTTTTCCATTTCTCAGTTGGGATAATACTCTTTTGGGATACTACTCTGTTGGGAGCCACCCAGAGTGGCTGAGGCAGCCCATTCAGATGGACGGCATACAAATAATAAAAGTATATTATTATTATTATTATTATTATTATTATTATTATTATTATTATTATTATTATTATTTACAACTTATGAGGAATATTTGTGCAGCATCAATCGTCAGGTGGACTCTACTTGCTAGCAAATTACCTTCAGAAAACTATCAAGAGGGTATCATCTCATCAGGATTATCTTTATTAGTAATGGATGGGCTCCTGTTCAGTGGTTCAAGAGCAGCTGCAGAAAAATATGCGAAAAGATCGTTCAATAATAGAAATATGTAAGCAGTAGGCTGGAGACGACTTGCATTGGCCCCAGTTGCATGCTTATACCGAGGCCTCTACGAAAATAATAAAGAAGGAGTACTGACTCTGTGTGTGTTTCCCAGAAGCATTTTATTCCAGAATATTCAAGAGCCCATTTCATATCTCCAGCTAAGATTCCCCGAGTTTTCCTCTTCCTCATCACTCAGCCAGTTATGTTGCAGGCAATCCTATTACAAGCAGAAAAGCAGGGGTGGTTCACCTGTGAGCTTCCAAATGTTGTAGGACTACAACTCTTATCTGCTTGGACCATTGACTGTGGTGGTTGAGGCTGATGAGAGTTGGAGTCCAGCAGAAGCTGAGGAAACATAAGATTGCCATCTCTAAAAATGTTTAGTTTTCTAGGGTACCTCATGTGCCTTCTCCTATATCACAAGCATGTCTCCTGAGCCCACATGTAGACAAGAGCCCCCAAGCCATTGCCCCAGATAGAAGCCGCCATGTTGGCCCAACCCAAAGTAATTCATGATAGTTAGAAATAGCTGGAAGCACCTTTTCTTTCATGAGCCACTTGACAGTAGTTGCCCTACTGAAGATCTGGTCTTGTGCAGATCACTAGCAAACCATCATCCTGTTGCCTGTGGCAGATCAGCTCAGAATGAAGAAAGGGGATGTTATTTTAATCATATGCCTTTTCCTCTGCCATACAATGGCTGAGAACAGATTCTAAATAAAGCCTTTGTTTGAAAACTGGGGCATTGTGAATGAGCTATCGGTTCTGTAATCTCAGAACTGTTAACTGGTGCCCTTTTGAAAAGCTGGAATTTTCAAACAAACCAAAAGCCTACAACCTCCAGCAAAGATCAGAAGCTGCTGCGTGCTTTGAAAAATCCCTATTCACATTTTAAATTTAGGGCATTTCCAGACCTTACAAAAGCCTTCCCCCCGCCATGACTGCTTTATTAGGTTTAATCCCTACCACTGAAAGAGGAAGTAGACACCAAATCACCTTGTAATAAATAAATAAGAATAGGCTGGATAAGGCAATGGGTTTCCCCAGCCATTCTGAGTGGCTTCCAACACCTATAAAAAACATGCCAGTGTAAGCTAGATATAATTTGTGTTCTGGTAGTTATGATGCTACCACGGGCATCAACTAATAGGTGCCTATTGACAGTGCTTTTTTTTTCTTTAAAAAGCCAACACATTTTGGGGTACTCACATTTTCCTTCTCATATTGAAATACTGCCCCTCAATGAGGCCAAACTTAGATTCACAAAATGTTTAGGGGTATGCGTACCCCTGTGTCCCCCAGAAAAAACACTGCCTATCGAACTGCCTATCACAAACTATGTCAGCACAGCACTTCATCTGCAATAACTGTAGTATCAGGAGTAGAAAATGTAACATCCCAGAATCTCAGTATTGCCAATCGGAAAGCACAGCTTCTTAAGAATAATGGCACTTATACTAACCGCCACAGTTTCATACCTGAGGAGCAGGAGAATTCACCTGGAAAGGCCTTCATGCCCTCTCAGTGTAACAGAGCAATGATATGGTGTCATAAAATTGAAAATGGTCTTGATTTGCCACCACCAAATCAGAAGTGAACATCTCCTTAAAGACAATGTGCCTGCCGGAATGAATTCTCAGGTACTTCAGGGCTAAGTGAGATGTGATATTTATTGACTTAAGAGGGGAACGACACTGTTGTAATGCACAATACCTTTTGTACCCTGTTCTGAGTACTACTGTTTTTAAAAGATTTGAACAAACTCAAACATATTTGGAGAAGGGTGCCAAAATTTGGGAAGAGCTTGGCAATCAAGTCCTATGAGGAGAAGTTGAACGAGTTGGCATATTTAGCCTGGACAAGAGATGATTCAAAAGTGCTATGATAGTCCTCTTCAAATTTGAGAAGGGCAGTTACCCAGATAATGGAGCAAAATTATTTTCTGTTGCTCCAGACAGGAGGGCCAAAACAAATGGCTTCAAATGACATGAAAGGGCAGAGCTATACCATACATCACTGAAGGGGGCAAGGAGTGCCTAGTGCTGATGGTGTCTAAGGTCCTAGCATTTGTACCCGTGAGTTGAACAAGATGTGGAATCATACAGTTGGAAGAAACTTTAAGGGTTATATAGTCCAACTGCTGGCCGATGCTCTTGAACCTGTTATGAAGGACAGCCAACCACTTTCCAAAGCAGCCTTTTCTATTGTCAAACAATCTTTGCCAGGAAGTCAGTCAAAGGGAGATTTCCACCATGCATTTAAAGTACATCCATTGCACATTTGTAACAGTTGACTTACACCAAAGAATAAGGGGAACTGTCATTTCATTTCCTCCTCACAGAATTGTATCCTTAACAAACTACAGTTTCCAGGTGTGTGGTTTGTGTGTGTGTATGTGTGTCAGGTTTTGTGCTTTAAATGCACACTGGGTATTATTTAAGTGTATGGTATAAAGTAAAGGTAAAGGGACCCCTGACCATTAGGTCCAGTTGTGACCAACTCTGGGGTTGTGGCGGTCATCTCGCTTTACTGGCTGAGGGAGCCGGCATACAGCTTCCAGGTCATGTGGCCAGCATGACTAAGCCGCTTCTGGCAAACCAGAGCAGCAACAGAAACGCTGTTTACCTTCCCGCCACAGTAGTACCTATTTATCTACTTGCACTTGATGTGCTTTCGAACTGCTAGGCTGGCAGGAGCTGGGACCGAACAACGGGAGCTCACCCTGTCGCGGGGATTCGAACTGCCGACCTAATTGGCAAGCCCTAGGCTCTGTGGTTTAGATCACAGCGCCACCTGCGTCCCTGCTGTGTATGGTATAGATCTGCCCTAACATTTCCTTTCATGTCATTTGTTGGTCAAACTACAATTAATCCAGAATGTGGCAGTTAGACTGGTGACTGGGCGTGGCCACCAAGACCATATAACACTGGTCCTGAAAGATCTACATTGGCTCCAAACACAATTCAAAGTGTTGGTGCTGACCTTTAAAGCCCTAAATGGCCTCGGCCCAGTATACCTGAAGGAGCGTCTCCACCCCCATCGTTCAACCTGGACACTGAGGTCCAGCTCCAAGAGCCTTCTGGCGGTTCCCTCACTGTGAAAAGTGGGGTTACAGGGAACCAGGCAGAGGGCCTTCTCGGTAGTGGCTCCCCTGTGGAACGCCATCCCATCAGATGTTAAGGAAATAAACAATTACAGTATCTGACTTTTAGAAGACATCTAAAGGCAGCCCTGTATTGGGAAGTTTTTAATATTTGATGTTTTATTGTGTTTTTAATATTCTGTTGGGAGCTGGCCAGAGTGGCTGGAGAAACCCAGCCAGATGAGCGGGGTATGAACAAAAAGTTGTTGTTGTTGTTGTTAAGTGAGAGACATTTGACCCATGCTTAATATTTGTCGAAAACTTATTTATTTATTTGTTGGCCATCGCATCTGACTTGTTGACCAACATGCTTGTTGGAACTATTGGCCATGTGCTGATCGAATATAGAAGAGTTGGCTGTGGCATCACCAGAAAGCAGTTGACTTCAGAGGATTTGGTTCCTTGTGTGAAATTGAAGCCCTTTGTTTTCCAAATAGGTTCTTCCTCCTTCTGTGGTGTGTGATATGCCTTTGCTTCATTCTCCCTTCCCCAAAAAATCTCCCTGTGGCCCTTCCTTTGCACACAGAATAAAGAAAGCTCCTTTGGTTGTGGGCTCTCTGTTTTCATTGCAATTACTTGCCCCTGACCTTTCCTAAAACGTGTAAAATCACAAGGAGATCCGCATGAAAGGAATCATGTGCTGCCAGAGTACTTATCCGGGGAAGCTCATTGAAGTAGAAAGGGATTAAGAGGAGCAAGAAAGAGAGAGAGAGAGGGTCACGCCAAACCAAATTGTTGGCAAGGCTGGGATTAGAAAGCAGACAGACATCCAAAACAAAATAGCTCGGCTTGATTTAGGGCAGCAGCTGCAGCAAGGACCGCAACCTAAAAGTACAATCAGCCAAGAAGAAGAAAACAATTAACCAATAAAGAAGATAACAAAGCAGAGAGATCTTCTGGAAAAAGTATGTATTAAGATTGTTTTGTTGTCAACAAAGTGATAAAATTCTTTTGTGTATAGGAACAAATTTGTGGGATTTGGGGATGAAGGGCAGTTTGGAGATGCGTCTGCTAGAGCAGGAATGCAGAATGATCTCCTGCAAGCAGCTGCCTGACTAGAGTATTCTAATAATCAGTGCATGGAAAACTTCCCCACTTTCTTGAATGGGAAACCCATAATTGTTTTGGTTGAGCAAAGGGTTGGAGTTAGAGGGATGTGGACAGAAATATCTGGATTAAAATGGTTCTTGTATGAAGCAATTTAAACTGCAATCCTTGTGTACTCAGAAATGAGTCCTACTGATTTTGCAGGGGCTTACTCCCAGGTAAACGGGATTAGTTTATACATCCAGTGAGGCAGGGCATGCTCTAAGTACTCCGAAGTAGTGACACTCATTGCTGCTTATGATTATAATGATTGATGATGACGATGCAGAGATCCAAAAGACAATTGCGCTAAACTCTCCCTCAAAAATGCAAGCCCTCAAAAGCAAATAATGAGGTTTCTTTCCATTTGTGAAGGAACATTGTCTACACCAAGCAAATATAGGGCAAAAGATTAAGAAATGGGCCGCCAAATGTATGGGTGAAAAGTGCGTCGTGGGTCTGAAAAGCTTGAAGATACCTGCTCTACAGCATTTCAATGCCCTCTTTCATTTTTGTTTCTTCCATTTTAGAGCTTTCATCACCATATGGAAAAGAAGTGAGTTCACTGCATCTTGGCTCACAAGAAAGGACACTGACTTAGATCCATTTACTGTTTTTATTGTTGAATTTGGACCATCGCTATGCATCTATCCATATTGCTTCTCTTCGCCCTGCTCAGAGAAATTAGTGCTCAGTTCCCCAGGCAATGTGCTACCGTTGATGCGCTGACAAGAGGGGAATGCTGCCCAGACCTGTCTCCAGTGGTGGTTCCTGGTTCAGACAGGTGTGGGTCATCTTCTGGAAGGGGGCAGTGTGTACAAGTGACAGCCGATTCCAGACCCCATGGACCCCAGTACATGCACGATGGGCGAGATGACCGTGAACAATGGCCTCTGCGCTTCTTCAACCGAACCTGCCAGTGCAACAGGAACTTCTCTGGATACAACTGCGGAGCCTGTCGAGCTGGCTGGAGTGGACCTGCCTGTGATCAGCAGACACAAATAGGTAAAGACAATAACAAGAAAGAGGGCATATTTGTGTGTTTTGGCACAGAGGTGTCCCCCTTTTCTGATGGTTTCAGCCTTTTCAGTAGCTTAGGCTGATATTTCTCTGAAAAATTGATCATCCATAATGATTCAGTTTTCAGAACATCAAAAATTGATCATCCATAATGATTCAGTTTTCAGAACAAACAAAATAACACTGCATTTCAAATGCATTGGCATCTGCCTCTAAAGATTTTCTTCGCAGCAGAAGTTTTCAGTCTCTTAGAACGCAATAACCCCCTACTCGGAATTAAGTCTTATTGTCTTTAGTAGATGCTACTCCTAGGCAAGTGTGTGTTGGATTTGCAACCTAAATCAGAATAGAAAAGAATTACAAATAGCATAAACAACCTTTTAGAAAGGTATGCATTATAATGTCTAGATTGGCGATTATGGGGCCAAATTCATTGCTTTGCTTAATAGCACCATACCTTTCTCTTCCTTCTGTATTAGCAAACATCCTGGGTGGGATGAGAGAAGGAAATACAATAGAGGGAATAATAGAATAGAATAGAATAGAATAGAATAGAATAGAATAGAATAGAATAGAATAGAATAGAATAGTTGGAAGGGATCCCAAGAGTGATCTATTACAACCCCATGCAATGCAGGAATCTCAACTAAAGCATCCATGATAGATGGCCATCCAACCTCTATTTAAAATCCTCCAAGGAAGAATAGTCTACCACTGTCCAAGAGAGTCTGTTCCACTGCCAAACAGCTCTTACCATCAGAAAGTTCTTCTTCATGTCTAAGCAGGAATCTCCAATCTGTTAAAATCATCTTGAATCCTGATTCTGTCACCTGCGGCATTAGCTACCCCTCCCAGTTTGGTGTCATCTACAAATTAAGAATTCAGTAATGAGATGGGGTTCTATTTGGAATGCCAGGTGGGTTTACCACCTTCACCAAGAGTTCACCTTGAAGGAGTGGCAGCAGCAGGTATTATTCCAATTATTCCAATCTGAGGCGGGTTTCCAGGGAAGACATCAGTAAGAGATGCTACACTATTCTAATGGAATGGTTTTAAGAAGAGGTCAGAGATGTCACATTATCTTGTTGCCAGCGTTAGAGACATCAGTGCTATTTTTCTGGCAAAAGAGGTGCCAGAACTCACCATAAACGCTTCCCTTGTTCTCTTAAAATGGCAATGGTGCCCACCTGAGACATGCCAGAACTGAGTTCTGGTGAGCTCCGGCTAAAAAAAAAGCCCTTGAGAAAAAAGGGTAAAAAGATTGCAGTTCCCAGATTCACATGTACAGCAGCAAGCTGTGTGGTACGTTCATTTGATCTCTCCTTCCTTGGAGGTGTTTAAGCAGAGGTTGGTTAGCCATCTGTCATAGATGCTTTAGGTGAGATTCCTACATTGCAGAGGGTTGGACTAGATGACGCTTGGGTCCCTTCAAACTCTACAATTCTATGATTTCTGAATAGATATTTTGCACTGAAATGCAATATATCCCAACTGTGCTGCCTGCTGGAGGTGCAAGCCAGCTTTTATGCCTGGCTGGCAGACCCCACAGAAGACTGGCCCTGCCAGTCCACCACCAGAGCACCACCCACTCACCAGGACCCTAAGAATCAAATTTAAAATTTGGGTGGGCGATCCTGCCAACTGCTGTAGCTGCCCGAGGCCAATGCAGCCCTCCCTTGTTCCCCAGCAACCACACCAGGCCACAGTCGCTGCCACCAGTTAGGGTAATTGGTATTTATTGCAATTAAACTTGATTGATTGTTTTTCTTTAGCTCAAACCATTATATTACCATAACAAAACTCAGTGTTTTGGGCTGGTTCATATTATGCACGTGTAACGCCTGGTGGCAGGCCAGTGTGTGAAAGCAAACCTTTAGGTGTCCCATGTCTTTTGAACTCCTGTAAGATTAATAAATTCTGGCTCACAGGATACAAACATAACTAATAACCTGCGGAGGAAACAGCTGTGTGGTCTGTGATACATAGAAATCTACTGGCACTGACAAATGCACATCTGCACCATCTGCACTGTGAATGACCAAGAGCTATGCGCTAGCTATATTTATGTAACTTTCTGCTACTCAAGACATCCATACCTGTGTTTGCGTCTGTTTGAATTGTCAGCAAAAGGGATTCCGGTGTTGAGTTATGTGTGCAGAAAGAGACTCTCTGTATCTGCCCATAGTCCACATCAGCAGAGGAATCGTGGCGAAATTTGTGTGTGCACTAAACAAATGCTTGACATGTCCCTGGTTCCTACAGTTTGCTTAAGGTTATTCCTGGATAGGAATGAAGATCCATTGTGTAAATATGGACACTGTCCCTGAAATATTATAGATTATAGATCATCAGAGGTTACTATTTGTTTTTGCAATGGAATCTCCATCTCTTCTTAGAGTTCCAATTCCCAAATCTTGAAATCCATAATGGAAGATTAAGAGAAAACTTTGGATTTAACTCCTGTATTTATTCCTGAACAAAATATAACAATCACATCTTGCTAGAGAAGCCAAGTTCTGATTCTGAAGGCTTGGGCTTCATGGATATTCCTTTTTATATTGGCAACTGATAGGCATGAATTATTGGTTTCCTATTTATATTTCCCTTTAATCCATAATATGATGTATTTTTAACCTTTAGTCAGAAGAAACCTTCTGGATCTGAGTAATGAAGAAAGGAATCGCTTCCTAAGAGCCTTGCAACAGGCCAAGAACACAATTCACCCTGACATTGTGATAGCCACAAGGAGACGTGAAGAGATATTGGGCCCTGATGGCAATACACCGCAATTTGAAAATGTGACCATTTATAATTATTTTGTGTGGTCCCATTATTACTCTGTCAGAAAGACATTTCTTGGACCAGGGCAGCAGAGCTTTGGTGGAATAGATTTCTCCCATGAAGGACCAGCTTTTCTCACCTGGCATAGATACCATTTACTACAGTTGGAGAGAGACTTGCAGGTAATGCCCTTTCTGTGGTTCACATGCTATGCTAACAAGTCAAGGTTTGAACACGTTCCAAAATGTCTCCCTTTAAGGAACCTCATCCCCATTCCCATCCATATAGTGAAACATTACTAGGCTGGCATCATAGGAAGAAAAGTCATGATTTAACAAGCTCAGGATTTCATCTGGTTTTTACCTGCAGCTCAGTGTAGCTCACCATTAACCCAGGTTGTTGTTGTTGTTGTTGTTCATCTCATCAGAACATGCTACAGGATCCTTTCTTTGCCCTCCCCTACTGGAACTTCGCAACAGGTAGAAACACCTGTGATATTTGCACAGATGACCTCATGGGAGCAAGAAGCAATTTTGACACCACTCTGATAAGCCAAAACTCAATCTTCTCTCAGTGGCGGGTTTTGTGTGAGGAGATTGAAGACTACGACACGTTGGGTACCATTTGCAACAGTAAGTCTGCGTTCTTTGGGTATACTTTGTTGTTGCTAGGCCAGTGGCCCCCAAAGAGCTAATATTTTCACAGATTCCAGGCTATTTTGCCTCCTCGTCTTCTTCCTTTGATGGCCAGAACTGGAAACAAAGAGGCAAGACAGGAGCAGTGGTGGATCTTGGGGCCTCAAGTTTCAGCAATGCCAAAATTCAGCACTCCTCCTGCCTCTTGCAATCCTTTCTAGATTATCGTTGTGGTGTCTGCTGTTGTACCCCGAGGCTTTGCTCTGAGTGTCACCAAACCAATTGTGCTCCCCTAACAGGAGAATGGGACAGTTACACTAGAGTTGCATTTTATTATTTACAAAGTGTAAATAAGAGTACAGGAAGCTCATCAAAAACTAATCAAGTTAACAGTGGCTCGTAAGCCAACCTCTGCCTAAGACAAGAGGCACAGTTCCTCCTTTCCTCCTTATCTGAGCTGCATCATTAAAACCAATAGGGATGTGTTCCTGTCCCATCCATTCCTGAGGCCCTGCAACTCTGACCAGGTGTTGCAGATCAGCCTCAAAGGCACCCTGTATGCTGCCTATGGCTCCCACAACCCTGTGTGATGGGTGTCAGGAAATGCCCATCACCCACCAAGATACATGAGCCTAATCTATTTCCTGCCATCTTCATTTTCCACACCTTCCTGCCCCAAATTGACTACCACACCAAGCAAATATTGACTAGATGAGTTTTATAGTCGATGCAGAAAAAAAATTGAAAATGCTTGACAGATACATATGCTTTGCTTCCATGGAATATGGTGGCCTAGGGTGTTGGTCTTCAACTGATGGGTTGGGACACATCATTGGTTTCGCATACTGTTCCAGGGTGGATCAAAACAGGAACACTACCACCATGCAAATAAGTGGTAAATTATTAAGAAATAGGTACATATTTGAGTTAAAAGTGGTTCCTGGGTCTTAAATAGTTGAAGATACCTTGCCTTGGATAGCTCATTATCTTGGCATTGTTCTATATATGCTTTGGCTGATCTTAGATCAGCAGTAAAAGAGTCTAGAATCCTTTAGTGGTCATTGTTGAGAGTCAGCATAATTCTCACACTATAGTGACTTTGGAGCTTGGGGGTTCTCTGCTTGAGCACCAGTTCCCAGTGCCCCAAGCAGAACCTGATTTTACCACCATGGGTTGGATCCAGCAAAGTCCATGCATGTGCAGAATAATTTGCACACATGCAATGGAACTTCCTCTCCCAAACCTACCCCAACCTACACGCACATGCAGAGAGAGAGAGAGAGAGAGACAGACAGATGAGTGTCTGGCTGGACACTTTGAGAATACGATGCTGGACTGGATGGGCCACTTATTCCCAGGCAAGTGTGCATATAAGATTGCAATTGACTGCAACATCTGAGCAGGGATCATCGTGGTCAGTTACATAGGTTGGCATGGCCATAGTTCTCACTGTGATACCCGACAATGATTATTAATAGCTTAGCTCTCACTGCAGCAGAACTATTTCCAAGGCAGCAAGGCTACAGCTCTCTTATATGTGTCTGATGGTATTGCCACTGAGAAGTCCCTTGCAACAATTCAAGCGGTGCACAGAGTGGTCCTTAGCCAAAAGCCAAAGACATTGCCTGTTTTCTCTGAGTCTGACCCTCTCTTTCCGAGGCTTTGTAGTCTGCTAACACATCAAAGCTCACCCTCTTTCTGCTCCCTCCCCTTCCTTCATATGCCAGGCACAGAAGGAGGCCCAATTAGACGAAACCCTGCTGGAAATGTTGCCCGCCCAATGGTGCAGCGCCTGCCTGAGCCACAGGATGTTGCTCTTTGCTTAGAAGTCGGATTGTTCGATACGCCTCCGTTCTATTCAAATTCAACAGACAGCTTTCGTAATACAGTGGAAGGCAAGTAATTCTCAAATAAAAGGTCTGAAACCAGAGGGACATGGAGCTCGCCGTACTCACCGAGTTTGCGCAGGGTGAAAAGTAGTCAAGTTATTTTGCAAGAGAAAGACTCTATTTAGCAAACCACCTCTTTTTATACCCCGTTGTATCATTTACGTTTGCCTAAACTGGAACAGGTTATAATAATGTACAGTTCATTCCTTCCTTCATTAATTTATAGAATATTTATCAACTATCACTCCAGTTTCATTGTGATCGCAAAAACATCATAAAATTGTAAATGCATAAGATGCAAAACAAATGATCAACACTGAATCAATTATGAGTATTCCTTCACTTTAAAAAAGAACAGAAAAACATAAATCACTTACCATATCACTTTTTTTCCCTCAATGAATGAAAACAGAGCAAATGAAGTGTATTATTGCCAATTTCTCCAAGTATTTTCCTCCCCCCCCCCCCATGGCTAAATGGTTTATAGGAGTCAAGGCTTTTCATTCTGAAACCCTGATCCATCACAAAAATAATTTCATTGCTAGCAAATATGTTCAAAGGAGTTTCAACATCCTTGACTTCAGCTACAAACACACACACATACACAGGTACCTTATGTTTCAGATCTTTCAGGGCATGTTTGCTGCAGGGGGAAATAGTATGCATGAGCAGCAATCATGTTTATCCATTGCTTGAAGTACTTTTGTTCTTGTCCTAAATGCAAGACTTACATTCTGACCTAGATAGTACTTATCTGGACGGACCAAGGTTCTTACTCATATGTGAGTCAGTTTCTTATGTTCCCCTGACATTTACACAGAGAGATGCATGGGGAAATATTGCTGTACTATATTTGCTTAAATATAAAGCCAATGTGGAGTTTAACATTTAATTCTGTTCAGCCCAGTTTGAGCTCTTGGCCTCACTGCAGAAGAAGGCAGAATATTCCCCACCTAATTATTTCAGTTCTTCTGATGACCAAGATTCTGACATTACAAGAATTTGTTTAGTGGTGCTGTAGAATCAGTGCTGAGAATTTCTGGGCTCCCTGAAGCAGAAGGTCCTTCTCCAAAGTCAATCTGCTGGCAGCCATTCAGGAAAAGACATGTGGGGAGCTGGAGGAACAGCTGGCCCATTAGGATACATAAGAACATCTTGACACTTGTGTCGATGGCTAGAAAATGCACGTGGTGGTTTCAATTATGTTTGCTGCCATTCCGACCCAAAAGCTGCCGCTGTAGCTCAGTGCAAGACAGATTTGTGTTTGTGTTTCAATGTGCAACATTCCACTTCGCTTGTGCAACAAACCCACGAGCAAGCAAATCACTTTGTATTCATATAGTATCATTATTTAATCTCAAAGTTGAGTGTCCCGAGGAAATAGCAATTGTGTGCATTTGAAAGAGTCTGTGGTATGCAAGGAGCAATGCAATTTCCTTGAAAGAAGTCAAGAGAGTGGTCCAAAATCATGGCAAACTGAATTATAACCAGCTGCTTTAATCTCACTGCTGTTTCCAATTTACACCTCTTCTTTATTCTTACGCGCAGGTTACAGCGACCCTTCGGGGAAGTACAATCCAGCCGTGCGTAGCCTTCACAATCTGGCCCATCTGTTTTTGAACGGCACGGGAGGGCAAACCCATTTGTCCCCAAACGATCCCATTTTTGTCCTCCTGCACACATTCACCGACGCTCTTTTTGACGAATGGCTGAGAAGGCATAATCCTGGTGAGTGCTTGTGGTTCACATTATTTAACCTTCAGGCAAAGAGAACGATTCGCCCACTACCCGAGTCCCACTCAGCAAAGTGGGTGAGATGCAAAGGACAGGCTTCTGTTCCCACTTGCACAAACAAGCTGCTATGATCCCCTTGCAACAACACAGCCCTTTCAGAGGCCTGGGCTTGGGGATCAGGGGCACAATCACATCCTTTTACTCCTGTCTTCAGAAGCAGAATAATATTTAGCCAAAGAAGGAGCTATTGTCTTGGTTGATGATGCAGGATAAATTACACCCAGGGATCACAAGATCTTAATGGAGTTTTCCCAGGTCAGTTGACCGGAACAGCAGAAATAGTTACATACTCTTTTCTAATTGCATAAATTCACAAATCACACACTGCTGCCCTTCATTCTCTACCCCTCTTGCAAAAAAAGAAGAGGGGAAAAGGATAAATCAAACAATGTACTTGCTGTTACAGGGTATATATTTGCATATAGTCTTTAAAAATCTTCTAGCCATTTTTGTGCGTGTCTTACAATAAGTCAAGTGGCAATTCTGGCAAGTTCAAAAGAGCTGTTTGTTACTGCTGTAAAATCACATAAGTTCGTGTCATGTTCCCCTAACAAATACAAAAGAAAAGCAGATGGCATGGCAGGAGGCAGCCAGTCTCTCTGGGTTTCTGGGCAAAGAAAGAGCAAAAGGAAGGCGAACAGAGAAGAAGCAAACATACAGGGCTTCAGAGTATGTTTTTCGGCTGCATTTGCAGGGGTTGACTCTGAGGGGGCTCAGAAGCTTATCAGAGAAGGCAGTTGTTGATGGATAAACATCCTTGACCAATTGCTTGTCCACCTTTGCTGATCTCCTCCTGCAATGAAAAGTCACGGGGAAATGTTCAGCTTGAGCCCTCTCTCTGCTTCTGTGAGGGCAACAATGAGGTTAGAAGGACATCACTGGTGTCCTCTGCAAGGATGTCCCATTTGTTGGTCACCTGAAATGGAAGCTTCAGGGAGAAGGGTCACCAACCCATCACCTATGGGTGTCAATGTACTTCTGATGGCACTCATGAATGGTGTCAGTAAATAACCCCTCAAGAATCCACAGTGCATGGGAGACTGTTTGCTCTACCTGCTCAGTTCCTGTTTGCACTTTCTTAACCCCACTGACATTGAACACGTTGCCTTAAAGATGACCAGCCCAGTGTACATTGGATGCCAGGACTGGACAACCTCTCCCTTTCATTATGAACAAGAGAGAAGTGCAAAGAGCTTCACTGTGCTTGTGGACTGTTTCATCGTCTTCCTATTAATCATTCATTCATCCCACACATTTCATTCCCCCTCACTTTCCAAACTGCAAAAACTTGGGTGTAGAAATGCTTTTGTTCTGCAAGGTTAAGAAAACACTTCAATCAACTCTAATTGCACAAATCTACAGTTCTGGTACACACTTAAATTCCTATTGCAAAATATTGACGGTCTGGAGGCACCCTAATTGTAATCTGGAAGTGGCCACAAAGGCTCCATGTGAATTTTGTTATCTTTACCAAGTTTCTGAAACTGAACAAGCAAAACATTTTTTTTCCCTTTAGATATCTCGATCTACCCACTAGAGAATGCCCCCATTGGACATAACAGACGGTACAACATGGTACCATTCTGGCCCCCCGTGGCCAACAATGAGATGTTTGTTACAGCACCAGGAAATCTGGGATACAGTTATGAAGTTCAGTGGCCAAGTAAGTTATTAAGCCTCTCCTTTTCATTACATAACTCTTTCTTCTTTTCTGTTCAAGTGGTTCAAATGTTGATTTACTGTTTACAAATATTCTGTGCATGAAATAGCTTTATGGGCTGTGCTCCTTTCCACGGCTGCTTAAACTTGAACTGTATCTAATTTGAAGCCTAACAGAAATCACTGGTTTTTCAATCTATGTAGTTTGCTTCACCTGCTTTAATGAACAAAGAAACATTGAGGGGAAAATGCACATTTTTGGTATCATGAAATGATAACACTGAATATTCAGGATTCAACAACTGAGTCAATGGAGCAAAGACAGCAATAAAAAACAAGCGTGATCTGCTTACCTAGTATAGGAAAACTAAATGATCCAAAAAGACACTATCAGGGGAGTAGATTGGTTCCTTAGTTTGCCATTGCTTTCTGTCCCCATGTTTACAATTCAGAGATAATGCACGCTCTTTTCTAAGGAAGGTCAGTTTGGATAATGCACAAATTCTGAATACACAGCCTGATGATATTCTATTAAAAAAGAAATTTCATTGTTCTGATTTACAGAGGAAATAATTCAGGTTGCATGAGTTGAATTAAGTCCCTCAGAAACCCACCATCCCACATTTCTTGAATTGCTTTGGAACTTCGTATTAGACAGAAAGAAGTACTTCTATAACCACCACAACAACAATAATTTTATTAAGAATATTACAATGAGTTAAAGTAAAAGAAAGAAATGCATAAAACATTTTTAAAGTTGCAATCAACAGCAACTTGAAATGACTGGGACTTGTTATTATCCATAATATTGAAGAAGAATATTCAAATGGATTAGACTTTTAGCTACATCCAGTGACGTAGAGTGGATTCTCAGCATCTGGGGCGTGCAGTCTGAGTCAGCGGTGGGTGAGGCAAGGGAGAAAGAGGCTCAAAACTACCCCTCGATGAGGGCAGATCTGAGGGCTGAGGCACCCCATTTGCAAAGGAGGCAGCGGCTACCGGAGCCTCTTGCCTCTCCTTGGTGGGCGGCAGCAGCACCCTCCCTCTCCCTTGACTGGCCCAGGGGTGGGGCATGTGCAGATGTCCCTTCACCATCCACAAGGGGGAAAATGTGCTACCACTGCCCCAGCCCCAGCCCCAGCCCTGAAGGCCCAGCCCAGGTGCAAATTAGAGATTGAGGGGGCCTGGTGTGAGGGGGCCTGCTTGCACCCCCTCACACCCTTTCACAAATCTGCACCAGGGCCATGACCCCCCTGACCCTCCCCGTCTACATCACTCAAGACTTTAACCCTGTGTGCCCTTCCTTCTGTTTCTTTCTAGCTCGGGCTCTCCAAGTCACGGAAATCATCACTATTGCCATTGTCACTGCCTTGATCCTAGTTGCAATTATATTCGCTGCTGCCACATGCATCGTCCGTGCCAGGAGAAACAAGGATGATCTTCATCAGCCGCTTCTCACGGACCAGTACCAGACCTACTCGGACGATTATGACAGCATACCAACCCCAAGCCACTCCATGGTGTGAAGTGTCAGCAATTTATCTGCACTCTGTAGCATTTGCTCTTTCTGATCTGATTCGCAATAAAGAACATGAAGAGTGACAAAACCTTTCCTCTCGCCAGGGAAATCTTGAGTCACTTGTGTCGGTAATGTGTGTTTTTGTGTTAGACTGGCTTGAAATTTCCCTCAAGTTCACTCGCTTCACTCCTTAGCCATCTACCTATGAAATAAAAGTCCTGTACTTCTATATTATCAAAGTCTGATGATGAACATTTTCCGCTAGTAGCTGAGTTGCGCTTATTAATTGCAGCTTCTCCATTTAGCTTTCTTCTTCTTCTTCTAGATTCTAATTCTTTGCCTCTGCATGGGCAGAATTAAGCTGAAATGAGAGAATGGCTTTTCCGAACATGTTCAGCATCTTGTAAAAGGACCCAGACTTTCAACAATTTGTTGTGGATTAATTTAAAAGGAGACAAAAATGTTGCCTTGTCTAGGAGATGTTCTCCACAGTGGACTTCGTTTGTCCACAGTGATTCTTGATTGGCCAAGATCACCCATGTGACCAATCTAGAAAGCATTGCTTCCATTCAAAACTGGCTTAGTTTCCCTCAAGTGAAATCAGCTTGTGATTGATTCTTATTGGCTATATTGGCAATATATCATTGTGATGTAATCGTACCCACTCCGTGAATTGTAAATGCCAAAGATGCCACAGAATCAGGGGCACATAGGTGAAAGGATGAATTGTAAATGCCTAAAATGGCACAGAGTGGTGGAACGTGGATGGCGCCGTGGGTTAAACCACAGAGCCTAGGACTTGCCAATCAGAAGGTCGGCGGTTCGAATCCCCACGATGGGGTGAGCTCCCGTTGCTCGGTCCCTGCTCCTTCCGATCTAGCAGTTCGAAAGCACATCAAAGTGCAAGTAGATAAATAGGTACCGCTCCGGCGGGAAGGTAAACGACATTTCCGTGTGCTGCTCTGGTTCGCCAGAAGCGGCTTAGTCATGCTGGCCACATGACCCGGACGCTGTACACCAGCTCCCTCAGCCAATAAAGCGAGATGAGCACTGCAACCCCAGAGTCGGTCACGACTGGACCTAATGGTCAGGGGTCCCTTTACCTTTAAGATGGCACAGAAGCAGTGGCACATAGGTGAAAGGATGGTACTGAAGAATTTGCTGGGGGCTGGGGGTGGAGAATACACCATGAAGGGTCCCCCCCCACAAAACATTTACACATTTCTCAAACAGTAGTTTCAACCCTAAAATAAAAATGTGCAAATTTTCAGTTCTCCTACTCCAAATGTGCAAATTTTCAGACCTCCTACCCAAACACACGACATAGCTCAGTTGGTAGAGCATGAAATTTTTAATCTCATGGTCATGGGTTCAAGCCCTAGGTTGGGCAAAAGATCCTTGCATTGCAGAGAGTTGGACCAAATGACTCTTGTGGTACCTTCCAGCTGAATGATTAGATGGCAGCCAGATGCAAAAGAAATCAGATGTCTTGCATCTTTGATAGTTGTATAAATTTCATACAGGGCAGCTCTTTTGCACTGATGCCATGCCTCTACTTTTACACTCAGGAATCTGTTCTTCTTGCTGTGAGTTTCCCCCCAGCACTTTGTTCTGAAACAGTCTGCAGCTTATGTCTACATGCAGCTTATACAGTGGTACCTTGGGTTAAGTACTTAATTCGTTCCAGAGGTCCGTACTTAACCTGAAAACAGTTCTTAACCTGAAGCACCACTTTAGCTAATGGGGCCTCCTGCTGCTGCTGCGCTGCCGGAGCACAATTTCTGTTCTTATCCTGAAGCAAAGTTCTTAACCTGAAGCACTATTTCTGGGTTAGCGGAGTCTGTAACCTGAAGCGTATGTAACCCGAGGTACTACTGTATCATTCATTAACTTATATCCTTGAGTAACATAGCAGGTTCTTATGAAAGAAATATAGGTCATTTGATTCATTTTCATATACGCAGAAAAAACGTTCCCATCTTTTGCACATCACTTTAAATGAAGGGCTAAAAGAATTGCATCAGAGGGCCAGGAGATGGCAGTGCTAGAAGCAAGAAAATTCTTCCTCGCTAGGGGGAAAAAAGCTGACCCATTTCTAAGAAACCTGATGTGTGAAAGGGGCTATGTACAAGGAATCACATCCAAATTCCCATTCAATATTTGGAAAGATTTTCAGACAAAGGACTTGAACGTTTCATTTTAAAGAAGACACTGTTGTAATATGTGCTGTAGTTTTGAATAATCACAGACTATTTGAATAATCTTTAGCTCAGTCCATAAAGCATGGGTTCAAGTCCCACACTGGGTGAAAGATTCCTCCATTGCAAGGGGGTTGGATTAGATGACCCTGTGGTCTATTCCAATTCTACAATTCTGTGATACTATGACATTTCAGTTGTTCGAGGCTGCCACGATGTGAGGCATGAGGGGCAGGAATGCAAGACTGGGGTAAGGGTGTTGGTGTTGGTAGCAAAGGCCGACTCACAGTCAAGGTGCTGCAGGCACATACTGGGACGGGGCCAAGGTTAAGGCAGTCCAAAGTTGCCGGCAAACGATCAACCCAAGTCCCATCTCAGGCCGCAAGCAAGAGGTAGTCTGAGTAGCCAACAACAACAACAACAACAACAACAACAATTTATTATTTATATCCCGCCCATCTGGCTGGGTTGCCCCAGCCACTCTGGGCAGCTTCCAACAAAAGATAAAAAAAAGATTTAAAAAGATTTTAAAAAGATTTAAAGATTAAAACGTCAGTCATTAAAAACTTCCCTAAACAGGGCTGCCTTCAGATGTCTTCTAAATGTCAGATAGTTATTTATTTCCTTGACATCTGATGGGAGGGCATTCCACAGGGCAGGAGCCACCACCGAGAAGGCCCTCTGCCTGGTTCCCTGTAACCCCGCTTCTCGCAGTGAGGGAACCGCCAGAAGGCCCTCGGCGCTGGACCTCAGTGTCCTAATGCATGAAGGAGCTGAATATTTGTTATGTTTTATTCAGTGCTTTTTTTCTGGGGGGATGCAGTGGGACACATACCCCTAAGCATTTTGTGAGTCTAAGTTTGGCCTCATTGAGGGGCAGTATTTCAATATGAGTAGGAAAATGAGAGTACCTCAAAAAAAATTTAGAAAAAAAAAGTACAGTGATACCTCGGGTTAAGAATTTAATTTGTTCTGGAGGTCAGTTCTTAACCTGAAACTGTTCTTAACCTGAGGTACCACATTAGCTAATGGGGCCTCCCGCCGCCGCCACGCGATTTCTGTTCTCATTCTGAAGCAAAGTTCTTAACCCGAGGTACTATTTCTGGGTTAGTGGAGTCTGTAACCTAAAGCACCTGTAACCCAAAGTACCACTGTGCTGTTTTTATCTATTTCATTAGCTGTTTTGAATCTGTTAGGATACACCCACACCCACACACACTTACCTGAGAAGAGCTGCCATGAAACTCAGTGGCATTTACTTCTGAGTAGACATGCTGATGATGACATTGTGAATATGCTATTACCAGGGCAGCCCTAATTGCCATGTAGTCAGTGTATTTTACAGTGAATGGCTAAAGAGCCTACTAAGAGTTGTCTAGTTCGTCCTAGTTTGAAAACCCAGGTTTGGTTGAATAATGCATTTTTAAGCAGAAAAAAAAGATTACACTATCCATAGAATCAGAGAGCTGGAAGGGACCCAATGGTCATCTAGTCCACCCCCTGCAATGCAGGAATCTCAGCTAAAGCATCCATGACAGATGGCCATCCAACCTCTGCTTAAAAACCTCCAAGGAAGGAGAGCCCACAACCTCCTGAGTGAGGCGGCCAACTCAGGTTCTTCCTGATGTTTAGTCATAATCTCCTTTCTTGTAACTTGAAGCTCTTGGTTCGAGTCCTACCCTCCAGAGCATGAGAAAAACAAGTTAGCTACATCTTCCTTCTTTTTTCTTTCTTTCTTTTTCATTTCAGGAATGAAAAAAAAAAAGGTTTGCTTAACCCTAGACAACAAGTCATTGGAATAAGGTTTTGCTTTTCTGAAATATGATTCAGGTGCCTTGCCTCATTTCAGGGTAAACGTTGCCATTAAACCAAACATATTCTTATATTGCAGCACTGAAAATTGTAAAGGCTCTTGAGAAAGACATACGCAGAACACACACATCTGCAGCGGTGCAACGTATACACCATAATGATGTGCTGGTTGATGCTTGCACTGTGTTGGAAGCCAAAAAGAAAAAAAAAATGTATTCTTTTGCATTTTTTGCTTTTTTTCATGATGTTCTTGATTCCAGAGCACCAGATTCCACCAGTCTGATGTCAATAAAAAGTCAAAGAGCACAGCTCGTTTTTAAATACCACAAACTTCTCTCCGTCCCGCCCAAAGGAATTTGAGAGGCTTTGCAAATAAATCATTTGCTCATTAAGCATTGCTCTGGCAAGTAGAGTCCTCTTGTGTGTTCTTTGGGTTCTCATGGATTGTGATGCATAATTGCTGTAGTCAGTTTATGCATTGATGACATCATTTCCCAATCTCTCTTTTCTATCTCTCTCTGATGTAAATTTAACTATTTCACAGGCAGCACTATGCAAAGCTATCTCAAATAGAGATGGATGAGGTCCCCTCGGGGTTGATTTGGGTTGGGACAAAAGTGCAGAAGGAAACAAGGGTGGTGATGGAAGTCCTACAATTAAAATCCAAGCTGTAAAATAACCTGGGCGTCTTTACGCTTGCATTATTTTTATTACAAGTTGCAGAGATTTGTATTTTGAAGCCAATGAATGATGGCGCTTGGTGACATCTCCAGCCATTCATGAGGCTTGTCTTGTCTTCTTTCACTTTCATTGAAAAAAATGCTTGTTTTCTGAAAGGCAAGCTAAGAACATAGCAGAGGTATGACGGCAGGGACATATAAAAAAACAACAACATGAAATACTGGCATGGAGAACAGATCTGACTATGAGATGGATGATCAAAAGGGAATGCAGTTCATGGATTTAGAATAGGCAAGGACCTGGAGAGCATTTATATTTCTTGGAAGCCCACTTTGAGAAGGGGCCAAAGTAAATAAGCTGAGATTTAATCTTTAACCACAAGTGTTACTTCCCCCCAAATTTCTCTGGTGGGAGGGCA